CCATTCAGGGATACTTGCAGTTTCTAGAGCATGCTATACTCATGCTTATTTGGACCTCTGTGTCTTTGCTTATACAATTTCCTCTACTTAAATGTCACTCCTCATCCCATACCCATCTTTGCTGCCTTCTTCACAATCAAGACCCTACTCTAGTCCTCAAGGCCCAACACAAATGCTTTCTCTGTAAGGCTTCACTGTCTCTCCTAACTAAGCCTACATAATTATACCATTTGTTGTGCTGTTATAGTACTTTTCTCCTGCTCCGTGTATTGTATTATAGCTAATTTACATACATCTAACACTCTCTCTTACATTGTGAAGAATTTTTTAAAATAAACTTCTTGATTTATTTCCTTTTCCCATATCTGGGCTATGCCTTACATATTCTAGAACATTGTCACAGTGCCTAACACATAGTAAACGCTCAATAGATGTTTGTAGTTTGGAATTTTAAAAAGCACGTGCACTGCTTATATTTCCATATAAAAAACACCTCTTCTAAATGTAATGGGGGCTAACCACAGGTCTAAAGGTTAGGTAGAAAAACTATCTCTTAAACTGAATGTGGTTTTCTGTCCTGATAAATGGGAAAACTAGAGCATTTCTTCAAGAGCAGACTACTCTGGGAAAACTACATGAATTGTTTAATTACTCATATTCAAGCAAGTAGACATGTATCACTCTTAGAAAACTATAAAGCAACCATTAACCTGAATATAAATGCTTTAGACTGAGAAACAGAGTGCTTCATTTGAATATGCAAATCTTTGTGTGTGGAGTAGAAGTACCGCTTCTGCAGACATTGAAGAGAAGAACAGAAAATCTGTTTCCTCTCTGCAGATTTAGAGCATATATGTGTCAATGCATTATTATTTCTGTGGAGATGTGAATGTCCTTTTGAGCCCCTGCTCTTTGGAGAGCAGAAACTGAGACCTAATGAATATAGGAAAGCAAGGACAGGCACGATTTTCACTGCTCTTCTGGAGAGATAATTATGCACAGGGACTGGACTGGCTTTGACAAGGCTTTACCTTGACCCATGTGTAAAGACTGAATAATTCAACCTTTGTGAGAAATGTGCTGATGTTGACTGTTGTGTTCTGATAATGATGGCCCTGTTGAATCAGAGGTCAAGATCATACCCTTGGGCATGCGGGGTGGGGTTTCCTCCAGAAAAGTAGATATTTCCATGGTTAGTCATTCTAGGAAGAGATAGCACCTGGGACAGAAAATGGGACTTGGAAAGTGGACCCTAACCTGGGTAAGGAGAGTTGTTTTCTTCACAGTGATTGGGAGTAAATGCCTAAGACACTGTCAGGGGAACTCTTGCTGGAGAGGTGAAACTATCTTCAGCCACATGAACCAGAATGGAAGCCTGACAGTAAGGCCAGGTCTGTGTCTATTCCATAGTCCATGAGACTTTGAGAGTAGCTATATCATACTTGCAAGTTACACTTTGGATTTTTCTTTTTTTTCTAAATATTGTTAGGAGTTACAACCTGTTCTTAGCTGTGTTGGGGAAAACTTTGATGGGAAGGGCCTGTGTTTGTCATGTCCTGGTGAAGAGAGGGCAGTGCTTCTTCCTGCCAAAATCTAAAGCAATGGTGAAGGTTGAATTGGCTAAAGAGAGAGACCAGTGTCCCAGAACAGCAGGGACTGAAGAATATCTGAAGTAGAGACACGAATGAAACTGATGAATGCTTTGTTCAATTATTTTAGGCATATGTGGGGGATACCTCCCCTGGGGACTCCCTCATAGTAGAGAAGGAAAAGAAATTCAAGAGAGGGCTGATATTCTGATAATTTGCAAGGTGGGGGTTCAGAGCCATTATAATTTGGATTCTTATTTTTAAATGTGTCCTCTGTTATACTCAAAGACACGTGAAAGCTGTAGCACGCTGGTTCTCAAGGGCAAATAAGGCCTTTTATTAAGTAAACCCTTTCCATTCTGGGCATCCTGGTTAAGAGATTTGAGGAAAACAAAGATAAACAAAATATTTCTGTTTGGTTTTACTTTTTATTTTATTTAGAGATAAAGTCTTGCTCTGTTGTACAGGTTGGAGTGCAGTGGTACAGTCATAGCTCCTGGCTCAATTGATTCTTCTGCACAGCCTCCCAAAATTCAGTTTAGTTTTATATGAGCCCTCTCCCCTTATGCTTCTCATGAACTTTGTTGTGGAGGCTTTTCTTCCATTATTTTTTCTAGATTCTTGCTTTTCTTCCATTATTTTTTCATTCTCTGTTTTCCTCACAAAGTGTTTTATATCAGAGAAGAAGGGAGAGTTTGAAGTTCTCTCTGGATATTACACCTAAGCATGAATGAGTATCTAACTGGTCTTTCAGTGAGGTGAGAATCTCAGCAGATGTGATTTTTTAAAATTATTATTATTATTTTTTTTGAGACAGGATCTGGCTCTGTCACCCAGGCTGGAGTGCAGTGGTGTGATCTTGGCTCACAGCAACCTTCCCCTCCCCCTAGGCTCAAGCAATCCTCCCACCTCAGCCTCCCCAGTAGCTGGTACTACAGGCATATGCCACCACACCCAGCTAATCTTTGTATTATTATTATTATTGTTATTACTATTATTATTATTATAGCTATGGGGTTTCACCATGTTGCCCAGGTGGGTCTTGAACTCCTGAGCTCAAGCGATCTGCCTGCCTTGGCCTCCCAAATGTTAGGATTATAGGCATGAGCCACTGCACCCAGCCTCAGTCATGATTTTCTCAGACTGAGCAAGGATGCTACTTAACACCTTGACAGAGCAGATACAATTTCACCCCTGTTGCTTGCAACTATGGCCATACTTTGAAAGAAGACTGCATTCAGTTCCTTAGAGCTTTTCTGGATTCATAGTGCTTTGCCTTTTTATTCCAGCAGCTGCTTATTTGGATAACCTGTTAAAAACACTTTCCTACCATCACACTAATGGGCTTCCTCTAGCTTGGACATTTTTTCTTGCTTCTGTTGATTCTATAACAGACAGTAACTTTTGCCTTCAACAAAACCTCTTCCTGTTTGAAATCTTTCTTTCTTTCTTTCTTTCTTTCTTTCTTTCTTTCTTTCTCTTTCTTTCTTTCTTTCTTCCTTTCTTCCTTTCTTCCTTTCTTCCTTTCTTCCTTTCTTTCCTTTCTTTCCTTTCTTTTCTTTCCTTCCTTTCTTTCTTTCGACGGAGTCTTGCTCTGTCTCCCAGGCTGGAGTGCAGTGGCCCAATGTCAGCTCACTGCAACCTCCGCCTCCCAGGTTCAAGCAAATCTCCTGCCTCAACCTCCTGAGTAGCTGAGACCACAGACACGTGCCACCATGCCCAGCTCATTTTTGTATTTTCAGTAGAGACAGGGTTTCACCATGATGGCCAGGCTGGTCTCGAACTCCTGACCTCGTGATCTACCCACCTCGGCCTCCTAAAGTACTGGGATTACAGGTGTGAGCCACCACGCCCAGCCTGAAATATTTCATTATCTTCTTCCAGCTACATAACAAAGCTGAGCTTTGTAGAATATCACTTTGGCATATTAATAATTTTACTTGTCTCCAAGATCTTCCTGAAATTTTGAGTTTCTTCACAGGTCTTCTTCCTCTGGGATTTAAGTGCTGTAGAATACCTATCAATTCCCTTTACTCAGTTCAACATTTTTTTTTTAGACCGAGTCTCGCTCTGTCGCCCAGGCTGGAGTGCAGTGGCACGGTCTCGGCTCACTGCAATCTCTGCCTCCCAGGTTCCAGCGATTCTCCTGCCTCAGCCTCCCCAGTAGCTGGGACTACAGGTGCTCGCCACCACACCCGGCTAATTTTTGTATTCAGTTCCACATTTATTGAATACCTATTATGTTTCAGGCATCAGACTACCTGCCGAAGCTACAAAGTAGTGGAGTTCATGCTTGGTTTTATGCCTGGAACACTTGAGTTACTAGTTCTGTACTCATAACTAACTCCATCGGAATTGCACTGGAAAGAGAAACCCGCTCCTATGGCTATTAAATGCCACGAAGGAGAATGCAACCAATGAGAGCAGTCCAGGTTACTAAGGTGATAGAGAGGAAGAGGGGGAGGGAGAGGGGGAGGAAGAGATAGAGAGAGAGAGAAAGAGAGAGAATGAATGAGAATGAATCTCCCCATGCAAAAAAAAAAAAAAAAATTGGGAAAAATATTGGAATCCAAAGACTAGGGAAGAAGCATACTTTAAAGGCGGAATAGTTTTCTAGGTTAATGTAGAGTTTCATTTTTGTTATACGTTATACCTATAAACAAGAACAGTGTAAATGAAAATAATAGGAAATTATGCCTATTTCATTATTTTAAATTAATATATTTATTACAGCATTAATGTTCTATGTTGACATGATTATTTATTTATTTATTTATTTATTTATTTGAGACAGAGTCTTGCTCTTGTTCCCCAGGCTGGAGTGCAATGGCCACCATCTTGGGTCATTGCAACCTCCGCCTCCTGGGTTGAAGAGATTCTCTTGCCTCAGCCTCCCGAGTAGTTGGGATCACAGGCGCGTGCTACCACGCCCGGCTAATTTTTTTTTTTTTTTTTACTAGAGTCGGGGTTTCACCATGTTGGTCAGGCTGGTTTCGAACTCCTGACCTCAGGTGATCCGCCCACCTCGGCCTCCCAAAGTCCTGAGATTACAGGCATGAGCCACTGCGCCGGCCGACACAATTATTTTATAACATTTCCTCCCATCAAAAATCTTTGAGGGAGAATGTCTCTTAGTGAAGTTTTGGTAAAAATCCTTGAAGTCTGTAAATTTCGGGTGACAAAGAGAAGGAGACAATTCTTTGTGATGTACACCTCCTGACATACTATGTTGTTCTGTTGAGAAAGTCTGAATACATAATTTCCAGTTCTAAAAGTGCAAGAAGATTCATTGCTTCCTCTGCTCCCTACCAGCTGAAGGAGCGGTCTCCTTTTGTCTTCTGAAATAAAAAGAAGGAGGCAAAGGGTGTTAGAGTGGAGGATTTTTTAGGGGATTAAACCCGAGTACTTAAGAACCTCTGAGGTCCCTTTAGCTTTTATTTAAGTAGCTCCTGTTTCCCAAAATAAGAGGGCTGGAGCACAGAGGCCAGACCGGCCAACTTAGGGTACAGCACAGGTCGGGGGCAGTCGCCTGATCTGGAGCGAGAGGTACCCGCATTCTGCAGGTGCAGGGACTGTGATCCAGCATCCCGCCGCCTCCTCGCTCCGGCTCCCAAGAGGGCGGGAACCGCGGCGTTGAAGGGTGCGGGGCTTGGCTTCAGAAACACAGATCAAGTGTATTTCAGGCGGCAGACATCAATCCAGTTGGGTGCTCACACCTGGCCCGGGGGAGGGGAAACAGCATCCATAGGAACCACAGGGCGGAGAGGAGCCCCTCATTTGGGACGCTAGAGGGCTGCTCCAGCTTGACTAGGTCCCACTGCTTTTCTGTGATTGCTTCTTTACCCCGCCCATCATTCCAGTACTCTATTCCGATTGGCTTTTCGGTCTGCCACTAGGTTCCGCCGCGCTGATCCCCATTGGCCCCCTCCGGTTGAGGCCCCGCCCAGCGAGCTGGGCACGGGCACTCGGGCGCGGAGGAGACAGAGCCCGGCGCTTGATCTGGGCTGGGGGGAGGCGGTGGCGGCTGAGGGAAGGAGGAGGACAAGGAGGAGGAACGAGGCCAGCAGGAGGCACCGGCAGCGACGGGGCCGGGGTGATGTTGCAGGTGCCCGGGGTCGGCGCGGAGCTGCCGGGCTGAGGGACGCCTGGTCCAGGGTCCGCAGCGTCGCCGCGTCGCTCCCGGGCGGGCGGGCGGGAAGATGCTGAGCAGGTTGATGAGCGGCAGCAGCAGGAGCCTGGAGCGCGAGTACAGCTGCACCGTGCGGCTGCTGGACGATAGCGAGTACACCTGCACCATCCAGGTCAGCGCCGCGCCGCCCCGCCCCGCCCGCGGGACCCCCTAGTCCCCCAAGTCCGGTCAACTTGACCGGCGGCGGCCGCCGCCCGGGGGTCGCCCCAGCCCCAGCGCCGTGCTTTGTCCGTTCCTGGTTGCGGCGGACCACCCTAGTGCTGCAGGGCGCCTTCACCGGAGCCCCTGCCGGAGCCCTGGCACCCGGTGTGTCACCGCCGCCGCGGGGCTAGTCTCCGCGTCCCACACCCCCAAGTCCTCCCCTGCTCTCCTTGGGTGAGGGCGCCCCGTCCTGGTTCCTCGAGCCCGCCCGGGTAGGGTGCACCTTTCCGGGGCGCCCGGAGGGAGGCGGGTAGGGCTTTAGGCTCCTAGCCCGGCCGCCCCGTCGGGGGCTCAGGCTTTGGCTCTCTGGCCGGGCAAGGACGTATGGCTGGCTTTTCTTATCTCTCTTGGGTTGGAAGGATAATGGTTTATGTCATAATTCCTCCCCCCTCACCCCATTTGTGAGTCAGAGCTTTCAGAAGGTAGAACTGAACGCGCAGCCCATGCGGAGTGGCCTATTGAAGGAAGCCCAGTCCTCTGGGCTTTAGAGATTTAGGCCCCCTCTTGCCTTTCGACCCCCAAATCTTATTGTGTTGGGCGGTTCTGGGGGACGTGAGGTAAAGATTTAGCAACAAGTCCCAGCGATTTGGGGCTTGGCGGTGGCCAGGAAGAATCGGCGACTTACGAAAAACGCCAACAATACGGTAATGCTGAACAGCATTTCTTTCAGAACCTGGTATTTTTGAAGGGATTTTTACAACCTCTTGCTCATGTTCCTTCACTACTGCTGTGTGCACGTCAGGAGTAGTAGTCTTTCCCGGGAATGCAGTCACAGCCCTCTCTCCTCCCTTATGAAAAAGTCAGAGATTGAAAACATTGACAATGCTCCGGTGTTCAGTTCATCAGCCAGGAGGATCCTGCGCTCATCGCCGGAAGCGGCTCTTTGTGGAGAAGCGAATTGAGCTGGACCCGGAGGGGTCTCACCTGATCCTTTGCCTTTGCAGCAGGAAAACAGAGGAGGCTTCTGGCTCAGATGTGACAGACAAAAACTGTCGGCCTGGGTCCTACCCTCAGTGTCTCCTTGTCCCCCCCGCCTCCTTATTTATTTATTTTTGCTGACAGTGCTCAATAGCGGAAAATAGCGGTGTGTGAGAAAGACACTGGGTAGTGTATGAGAGCAGCTGCTCCCTGCTGACTCCGTGCTCAGTTCAGCCTTCTCCTCACTTTCCCTTTTCTCCCTCCCCTCGAAACCAGCTCTGGGTATAAGTGCTGACTGTTGTCAAAGATCCGTGAGGGTAGAGAAAGAGCACAGAATCTCTTTTTAAGGCCACTTAAATACAGACTAAGCAGTCATAAAGATGCTAGCCATCAAGTGAAAGGATTTTTGTAGTTGAATATGATAGAGAGATGCTCTGTATTATTTCCTTGCTGAATGAGTGGAATACTACTTTTTGTTCCTATTGTATCGTTGTGCCATGTCCAATTTTTTTTTTTGTTTTTTTTCTTTTGCTGGGGTAGGAGAATACATTGAGTTGACATCTTCACCATTTGAGTATATTGTCTAGAGCTTTTTAAAAGTCTTTATCCTTTGCTTTAAAATTTAAAACATTTATCCAATAGCATATCAAGGGCAGTGTGAGATTTATACTTCATGAGTCCTAAGAATACTTTTGGGGTATGTGAAATAATTTCTGAGGCAGGTCACTAACTTTTGCCAAGGTGTAGAATACAAATAAAACACAATTCACATCACCATTTCGCTAGAAATGATTGTTAACCTTGTGGTTTTAAAGTATTGCAATGAGTCAACTAGTTATTTTTTTCCCAGTTAGTGGAACCTTTGAGGTTGTTTGATTGGTATTATAATTGTGGATAGTTTTTATTACCATTTAGAAAAAGAATATTTTTGAGTTAAAGAGGACTTATTGGGTTTGTGCTTGCTATATCTACTATGGTTGTACTTATTTTCCTACTGCTCTCATTTTACATTTTGCAATTTAATTTTATAAAATATCTAGGCCACTTAAAAAATTAAGCGTGGTGTAATATGGCCACACTGTAGTAAGTGTCCACTGTCTAGACATGTTAATGATTGTGCATTGTGATTTTTGCGTGGAATCTAAAAAACAGGGATTGTAAAGTATATGTGATGTTGTCATTCTTTGGCACCACTTTTGTAAATTGCTTTTGTTTTTACTCATGTGAGGAAATGTAGCAAAAAGACAGTATCTTATATGAAAATAATATTTTCTTCATGTAGCTTTTTTGAACATTTAGTAATTGAGCTTTTCTTATCAACTTTTCCTCATGCATTTCTGTAGTGTGTGTGTGTGTGTGTGTATGTGTGCACGTGATTATTTGTTAAATACTGTTTGTTAAATACTGGGCACAGGATCTTTTAAATCAGTATGGAAAGGATCTGTGAGCTTCTTATTAGGTTAAGCAATATTCCCAACATTTTAGGCATTGTAGCACTGTATATTTTAATTTTTAGGGTGATAATTTGAACTCATTTTCCTTAAAGTGTTGTATGCCATATTTTTGTTTAAATAAGGTATCTATTTTAGAATGATTTTACTGCCTCAGCATAATCAGAGACTACTTAGGGTATTACAGAATCAGAAATGTATCACTGGGTTGGAGTTATGATAGTTACATTTGGTAAATTTCAGTTGTAGGAAATTCCATCAAAGTATTTGTCCTTTCGTAATGCAGCATTTATTCTGATCTGGCATTTAGGATGTAATTATTAAGGTAATGAAAATGCCTTGTATGTTTTCAGTGAGGGTTGCCACAGTTACCAGACTATTCTTTCACTCTTTCTGGTATGCAAATGTATTTGTAGACCATGAGAAATGAAAGTATACATAGGAGGTTTGTAGTATAATTGCTCCCCTGTGAAGAACATTGTTAACAGCTCCCTGCCCGTTTTGAAGGTCATTGCCTGGTAAATGCAGATCTGGTCTACTCATCTGTTCTTCACTCATCTGTTTCATTTATGGATATATATATATATATATTTATTTACCACATGTATCACCTTCCTTTGTTATTTGGGAGAAAATAGGGAAAATTAAAAAATGAAAAGATACCTAATATCTTTGAACTCAGTGTACTGAAGGAGTCATTTACATGCTTAGGCATGTAATATCCTAAGGAATAGATTTTTATGTTTTTAAGAAACGGGATCTTGCTATGTTGCCCAGGCTGGACTTGAATTCCTGGGCTGAAGTGATTCTCTCGCCTCATCCTCCCAAGTAGTTGGGACTACAGAAGTGCACCACTATGCCCTGCTTATAAGGAATAGATTATTTTTATTATTATTATTTTGAGTTGGAGTCTCGCTCTGTTGCCCAGGCTGGTGTGCAATGGTGCGATCTCAGCTCACTGCAACCTCTACCTCCCCGGTTCAAGTGATTCTCCTGCCTCAGCCTCCCAAGTAGATGGTATTACAGGCATCCACCACCACCCCTGGCCAATTTTCGTATTTTTAGTAGAGACGGGGTTTCACCATGTTGGCCAGGATGGTCCCTATCTTTTGACCTCGTGATCCACCCGCCTCACCTCCCAAAGTGCTGGAATTACAGGTGTGAGTCACTGCACCCGGCCAGGAATAGATTTTTTTTTTTTTTTTTTTTGAGACGGAGTCTCACTCTGTCGCCCAGGCTGGAGTGCAGTGGCGCGATCTCGGCTCACTGCAAGCTCCGCCTCCCGGGTTCACGCCATTCTCCTGCCTCAGCCTCCCGAGTAGCTGGGACTACAGGCGCCCACAACCGCGCCCGGCTAAGTTTTTGTATTTTTAGTAGAGACGGGGTTTCACCGTGGTCTCGATCTCCTGACCTTGTGATCCGCCCGCCTCGGCCTCCCAAAGCGCTGGGATTACAGGCGTGAGCCACCGCGCCCGGCTAGGAATAGATTTTTAATTGTCTTTCAGCTTGTAATAGTTTATAAATTAAAAGAATATATATTGCAAAATTTCTAGTAGAAGTATGTGTTGAAAAATACCTATTTTCAAGTCAGAAATGTTAATCAGTTTTTTGTGGTTACTGAAAGGTGAGCTACTTTAGAAATGAATTTGATTTTACTGGGAGACACATTAAAATAATGGATTAAGCAGCCAGGTTAAATTGTGCAGTTAAATAAGATACTACCATAAATAGAATGGGTGTGCAGGGGCATTTCCATAGTATAACCAATATTTGGATTGGATTGTGGCTCAAACACTTAGTAGCTGTGGTAGCTAGGGTGAGAGAGGGAGGGAGAGAACAAATATATTGAGCCCTGTGCTTGCCAGGCACTCTAGTATTTATAATAGATTAAGAGAAAGCTATAAATCATAAACCCTAAGAATTATCACATCTAGTCTGATGCCTTACATAGTTTTAGTTCAATAAATATTTGTTCTAATTTGTTTGTGCTACATGATTACTATGTTAACTTCACTTCAAAATTTCTTATTCCTGAAAACAATAAACAGTTCTAACAATTGTATAACCCTTTATAGTTTTAATCCATTCCATTGCAAACCATTTTGCTGTGTGACCCCTCTCCTTGGTGAGAAGTACAGTACGTTAGTGTGGTATTTATGAGGTCTTTGAGGTATTTATGAAGTCAATTTCTGCAATTATCCTTTGTTGAATTAGTGGAGTGCCAGTTGGTATAGCTCCTATGACTTTTTGGTTTGTCTTTTAGGATTTCAAAACTTTCGGGTCCCCCCGCCTCCATCTGTGCAAGTTTGGAGGGCTTAGATCAAATGAATACTGTGTGATGCAGTACTTCATGGAGTGCTAGAGTTCTGCCAGAATTAGGATTTTGAGTGTAGAGATCACCATAGCTACAGAAGTTTCCCTCACATTTTCCCCCTTAGTACCCCATAAAACAGGAGACAGACCTCCTCACAGCTTCATTTTCTCACCTCTTGCTCCAAGAGGAAGCGAACTGTGCGTCCCATCCTGTTTCTAGTTATATCTA